TCATTGAAAATGATGATTGTGATGATATTGACTCATTACTTTCTCAACCATGGACTATGGATGTTACGTTATTAGAAGATTTACCTGTGTTACTTGGTGATTCTGTACAGGAATATATAAAATTACTAACAAAAAGAGAAACAATTGAACAATTACTTAGAAAAATTCAAAATATTGATGATAGTTTCGATATAATATTAACTATGTTAATTAGTGAGAATATTTTGAGAAAAAGAAAGTGTTTTAACAATTTTTCAGGTAATCGAAATCAGTTAAATAAATCACGTGAATTTGAAATAGATATGAAACAATACTTTACTCAGTAACTGATTTTGATTTTGAAGAACTTAAAATTTATTAAAAGATTTGTTTTGGAATAGAAATATCAAATAATTCAAATATATATATAGCTGATCCGATAAAAAGAATATCTCATAGTTATTCACAATAATATTGCACGTCGGTTGCATCTTTGATTTCGAATACAACAAATTACGTGTTAATATTTTTAATCCTCTACTACCGTCAAGTGCTGTTGAAAAAACAATTGAAGTAAATATTCATTTTGTTTTGTTGGTTATAAATTTTCAGATTGTTTTAATATCTTTTTAATCACAGAAGGTATACTTGATCAACAAATAACTGTATAAACTAATTTAGCTTCAGGTGAACAAACGACATTATTCTGTCCTAAATGCAAAGTCAATCATTTTTATCTGATATGAAGCATTTCAAAGTAATTATTAGATATAAATCTTCTGCAAAAAATTTTTTTCGTATTTTAGGCAGCAAATCCATCCTTCTTCACGTTCATAGATCACTGCAATTTTCTTGTCTTAAATTAAATTAAAAGTATCGAATGACAATATGAAATAAGAAAAAAATGATAACTATTCGATGTACATGTAGTTATAAGATAAATGATATCACTTGGCGAGAACATAGGTCATTCATCCTTTTTTATTTCACATGATGTCTATTATCATCCTCTTAATTAAATATTCTCGTACATTATATTTAGACAGTCGAATATCAATAAATGAAACAACATGTTCATCTCAACTCTACCTATTTCAATATTTGATATTATTATCTCATCAACATCAAACACATTGGTTGTAATGATATCTCAAAATTTCATTGCATTCATGTTATTAGAGTTTCAAAGGACACAAAACTTCGTCAATCTGATCGTCACGATGACTTGAAATAGAAAAGAAGATTATTGATTTTCTTTGGTGATCAATAAAAAGGACTATTTTTCAGTATTCGTATTTCTTCTTTTATATTGAAAATATCACAAGATTATCTTGCTACAACATTGTCAAGTCTTTTTACATTTAAATATTATTCAAATGAATCACTTAGTTTGAAAATGTCTTGATTTTCTTTATATGTATGATTAATCAACAAAATCAACTGATATTTATATTCTTCAATTTACTTATTTTTATACTGGACAATTAGACACTTGTATTATCATTAATAAAATTGAAGCATTTTCCTTTTTTGATTGATTTATTGTCTTAAATTCTAAGCAGATAATTAATAAACTTATTATACTAGATCCACCAACAATGCCAATTGGTTATGAATTACCAAGATTGAATGGTGATTAATGTGAAAGCTGTTTAGGCACAATATTTGAAATATCATCCTTAATTAGATTGGTTTTTGTTTATTTGTTTTGTTTTGGATATTATGAATACCAAAAGATATTTTTTGTTTACGTGTTAAAAATTTCAATATAACTTCGTTTAAGGAACAAATAATTATCGAAGAATATATTATTTATCTTGATAAAGTAATAATGAGCAATCTCTTTAATGAAATTTGATTATTTTACTTTGATAGAATCTCTGATATGATAATCTTGGTTACTTCTATCTGATGATTGTTAAGCATATGCTCAAAAACAACTTGAATCATGGTTGAATTTATCATTAAATTTACTTTGAGATGTCTACAATGAAAAATTATATGAAATCCATTTGATATATTCAATGAAGATGTAGAAGTTTGTCGACAACAGCAACAATCAATAAGAATAACGAAGCAAAGAAATGATTGATCATTGAAAGAAGTCGAACAATTACGAACACTTATTCAAGTTTGACTAGATTATTTTCGATTATTAATTGTTTGATTGATATTAAAAGTAGTTCAGGTTCAGTTTATAATCTTCAAGTATGCCATGCAACTGATATACTTGATAAACCTACTGTTTATTTAGCACTTCGTCATTGATTGTTACAATCAGTACCTATACAATCATATCGTTTTTTATCAACTTCTCCAGCCATAATATGAACTTCGAAACATGAAGCAGTTCTTATATATGATAAAAATGAATTTATTGTATACAATATTAATGGTACGTTAGTGAGTTTTTTAAAATCTCTCTAATTTTCTGTTTTTGATGATTGCATGAGTTCAGGATGAACGTGTTTTATGATCAACCATAGTAGATGCTTTTGTATCAGATCTTGTTTGGTGTTCAATACAAAATTATTTTCTTGTTTTGGATCAAATGGTATTTTCATGATTTGATACACATCTATTTATTTTTTTTTGTTGTTGTCATGATCCAAACGAAGTTATTGGAAAAAACTTCATTAATATAGATGATGCTGGTAAAATTTTGTTGATGATATTTCTTTTTTTTATAAGTTTTCCCAACTATTTGAGATATTCGCGTTAATCCATAAAGTTCACGATTTGATCTGATTATTAAAACTAAAAATGATTAATTTTCCTATAAATCTTCATACAATGGATTTAACACAGCTATTTACTACAATTGCAATTCTTCCATCATTTTCACTATAAGAATGTGGTCAAAATATTGATTTTATTCTTTATTAAACATTATTTATCAATGATAATGGGTGCGTGATTAGTTATTTATGGAAATGGTCTTCGTAGACATTGCCTTTCAGTTGTTGATGGTCAAACGAGAAAATCAAAAGGGATTACTGATGGTTGTAAAATGAATGTTTGCATGCTAGATGAACAATATCTAGTCGTTCAAATGATACAATTAATATTGATTTATGATATTGAATAATACAACATTAGTAATTTACTTCAGTATTTTGGATTGTATGAAAAAAACAATATTTTTGAAAGAATAAATAAATAAAAATTCTTGAACGATGATCAATAGCTATGATGTGAGGCAGGAAGAAAAGTCTGAGATAATTAATCGAAAGTGCTAAAACCAGGGGTAAAGCAGATAGTTGATGAGTTTTCTTGGTGGTATTCTTGTCTTTATAAGTTTACTATTCAGTTTTCTTCGTAAGAATAAGTTGTACAGCTAAATACTTTAATATTTAATCATGAAAATGATAGCATCATTTTTTGAATCAGGCAAAAACGATATAATTAAATCTCAAAAATGAAACATATATTATTAATTGATGATAACATTTATTAGTAACTGAGCAAAGATGGATCAGTGTCTGTGTTTCTTTTATTGAAATAATAAAATGTAATACATGTCTCATTTTAAAGGTAGTTGACGTTTGAAAACTATATAAAAAAGTTGCATTTCTCAGTATATTTCAAATTTAATCTAATCCTATCTAGAATTGAAATTCGACATTATCTATTTGTGATTTTGAGCAATTGATGTTCTAGCAACATTATACTTAGAATTGAGTGTTAGATTAAAAAACGAAATACCTAATTGACAAAGAGCACATGAATGAAATTTACACAGAATCTTCTGTCTCTTGACATTATCAAGATATATTTAAATGTCATGTAACCAGAAGAGCAGGTAGTGGTGGAGTCAGAAAAGATTTCTGGAGGAGCTCAGCCCCTTCTAGCCCTACCCTACCTCCGCCACTAAGAACAGACAGTTAAATCTACAACATTTGCCATCTCATATGATATTGAATGAAAAGTACATCTTTTATTATTTGCTATGCTATGATGAATTTTGGTCTTTTTCAAATAAAAAAAAACATAATTTTTAATTGCTTTTTGACCAATATCCTATCGAAAGTGACGTTCAAAATTCATTGATGACTAATAGAATTTTGATGTCTTATATTTTTCGGCATCACAAGCATTAAAAAAATGATCATCTGAAATCAAATAAATGTTGTCACATATATGATGTCAAAAAAATTTTTTACATAAGCAACAAAGATAATTCATGACTGTCACAAAAATTTTATTTGGTGTGGGTAAAAATAAAACAAACACCGACACCCACACCCACGCCCAAATGTTATCCATATTTTGAAGTATAAAATGATGGAGAGTTAATCTATATATATTGGTTGAGAAGCATTTTTGCATTAGAAAATAAATCGTTAATATTATCAATATGCCATATATACATATCATCATTAGAATTAAATGAGTTTGAAGATTCATATTCTTTTCGTAATTTACATAGTTCATTTTCATATAATTTTACATCATTACCTTCACATAATGTATCTTGAAGATATTTTTGTTTTCAATAAGATTCTCAAGTTACTGAGCAAATTCAACAATTCTATTTTGTAAAGATTTAATTGCTGAATTTTTAGTTGTACAAGTTGGAATATTAAATATACTTAATGGTTTAGAATAAGTTGTAATTGATTGATTTGAAAATAATGTACAGTTACCAGACACATGATCATGACTAGTTTGTTGACAACTCTAATAAAGAATATGTTATAATTATTAAAACCTATTAAATGAAGAAATAATGAGAGATAAAGTTGTTAAATAGAGACGTTCGAATTCAAGATTTTTTTTTACTTTGAAAAATTTATTGTTTTCGCTAACTCCATTTCTCAATTGGTCAACATCGAAGTCATAATTGATGTCTAGATATTTCACAAGTTTCTACTATTCATCTATCGATAGTTTTAGTCATAAAACTATATTTTGTAATTTGTAATATTTCTATTCAAAGATATTGTAAAGCATATCTGTCACGCATTGTTCATTAGCTATAAAACGACTAAAAAGCAAAAAAGATAATACTCACCATTTCAATAGTTTTATAGTTACTTCGATCTCGACAAGTTAAAAAAATTCTAATTTAAACTGATAAACTTGTCAATATCATATCATAACAGGAAGTATCAAGTCTTTATGTTTGATATTTTATTTTCTGATCAATCATGATGAATTTTCATTGATGTCAGATCTTATTTGAATATCAACAATCCAAAAAAAGCAACACGAACTTAATCAATTTTTGTGAGTTGTCTCACAAATTATGTTTTTATTCCACGTACATCGTATCCCAAAATTATAGAATTCAACATTCATATGTATAAGGCTTTGCTTTACTTTTGAACAAGTAATGTAATTGTGATAGAAGTCTTCAGAATTTCTATTTCAGATTTATAAGACACCTCATTAAAACAATTCATACGGACTAAGATCATATACATATATTGACTTAACGATTTTTTCTTTTTAATGTACTTATATAGTAATGCTCTTTTGATCGTATTTAACAGTCATATCATAGAAGCTAATATTTTCTATTTTTCAATGCATCTATATAGAAATTCTAGATCAATTATGAATAAGTTAAATTTGAATTCAATATTATTATAATGAAGATCTAGCATTTATTCTTCTTTTTGAACATTTGTTAAATCATCATTTTCAAATCTTAAAAGATTCTCGAGATAGATAGATGAGCAATCAACGATTTGGTTCAATGTACAGACTCATGTAAGTCTAAAATTTGTATATGTATTTCAAGAGTAAGAAAAAAACATTATCTCTCTTTTTATTACATTTCAATTGTAATGAGATTTTTAGAGATGGGCAACTCCGCCATCTCCAACTCCAGACAACTTCAACTCGGAGTTGAAGTTGTCCATCTCTGCTGTTTTGATAAGTCATTGTTTCATATTTACAATTAATAAACATTAAAATAAAAAATCAACTCTTTCTCCCTTAATCGAAAGCACATTTCTACAGACACCAAAATCGAATAGTATAGATGATTTAACAGCGACAACTAGTGATTTCTTTTCATTTGGTGAATATGAATCAACCAATGAGAGAAAAAGACGAATCAGTGAAATAAATTCGATAGAACAAAGATATTTTATAGTTGTCCTTCCATATAATGTCATCCAATTTTGAAATTTTCCTTTTATTTTTGAAATGGCGGATTCGTCGACATCCATTAATATCGACAATCTTGTTCGTGTTTTTCAGCAAAATGACAATGGAAATCAAATGTAACTATTTTTTCATGTTTTCTATCTTTTTCCCATTTCTTTCTTTTCTTCTTAGTCAAATATCGGTTAAACCTGAACATCATGATCAATGGATTAACAATTCAATATCTTTTCGACAAATCACTGAAGATATTTCAAGTAAATTTATTTTATATTGTTCATCAAAAATTCATTAATCTAATTGTCATAGAGTTACCAACAACATCTACTGTTTTGAAAGAAAATCCATCTGAATCTAATGCAAATATTAGCATAGATTCTGAAATATCTACTGATGAAAAAAGTCCACGTGACATAAAATTATATACAGCAGCTCAGTTTCGTTCGCATATTAATCGATTATATCCATTTCATTTGGATTTTTTTGCTGATAAAATATCATCACTTGATTTTGAACAACATCGAAT